TTTCAAAATAATAATTTGTTCACATTAACTCCTGTTTTCATTTATATTTATGGGTTAAAAACAACATAATACATGCTCCTTACATTCAAACAGACTTTTTCAGTGCTGATAGTCTTGTCTCACATTCACTCTAAAAAAGTATGCATATTTTCCCTCCTTCCTCTTTACCACCATCGTGAAATAGAAATACATGTGTATAATAATAAATGAATAGTCATATGTAAAAAAGAAATGATTCTTGAATGTGTCTTGGCATATGAAAAATGCATTATACAACATATTACCAACAATAATATCTGGAACTCAACTAATGAATATTAACATTAACATCATGTGCTAGATCAACATGGAGGAATAAGGAACATTGCAAATCAAATGTTCTAACATTTGTTCAAATTGTTCCCCTGGGCTTCAAAAGAAGTAAATTGAAATATTTGTTTGATAATGTTTGCATATTAAACCATTAGTTTGGCATGACCTAGACAATTGTTACGTGAATTAATAAATGCACAACTCACAAGGAGGTAGAAGGATACACTCTGGGATACTACAAGTTTGAGTATCATCTAGGATAGAATGATTTAACTCTTTCAGTTCCAGAATGTTGTTTTGCAGCAGATTTTGTGAGACAATTAATCACTAAGCACTATCACTATAATGCATTATACAAGCTGATCTTCATTTGTTTCTAGATGCAGTCATTCCATTCTTTGTGTGGTCTTCCTCTTGACCTGTGTTCATTGTATAGCATAGCTCTCTGTGGTGGTGTCTGTCAGGGCATTTTCCTCTGATGTTGAAACTTTATCGTATGTTGCCATTTAATGAAAAGCAGAAAAAGTTTCAGTCCTAGTCTTATTTTTTTATTTCATTATTGATTTTTTCTACACCTGTTACTCATGTTCACTGCCCAAATGCATTACTTTTAAACTTTCAACTGGTAATGCCAGATTTCTTTAGTAGGATCCACACAAACATAACAATGAAAGAAAATATACTGCGAAATGACTGTGATTCAAAAGTAAGAGTGAATCACATATTTAGAGTTCTTTGGTACTGAAAGAATCAAAAATTACAACTGCCTGAGCTAACACAGATCAAGGAAAAACCAGGACACAGTGGGTTCATGTAACATGTGTCTTTGACAGAAAGACTAAGTAAGGTAAAATATCACAAAATGTACACAACTTACAAGACTTTTGCATAAATGTAGATTACTTATTACTTATTTCAAAGCTGAAGTCTTACACATGCACATATGTTTATTGCTAGTTTATTTTAAGTTAAAATTTTAATGTATTGCAATGCTCTAAAATTTTTATGATAGTTTACACTTTCTAACTATGACCACATAAGCTTTAACTTGTATTATTAAAACAAACAAAAAATGCTGTATAATTCTTGCAGATTCAGAATTAAGGCACACAACAAATGGAAAACCCATATTCTCCTAACTACATGAAACTATAAAAAAAATTCAAACAAGATGTAAAATACACATACAACATACATCAGCAGACAATAAATAGGAAATCCTAATTGCTGTTGTATTCAAAGCTGATTGATTACTGTAGTGTATGTTGCAAATGCATTAACATATGCTTAAACTCTTACCTGGATAAGAGGAATTTCTTAAAAGAAGAACTATTTCTTGGGTCCCTGGTGAGTTCTCCTTATCAGGTCTGCACTATATTACCAATAAAGTCTAATAATGACTAGATACGACTTACTGTATCCAGATATCAATTTGTACTATCACACAACAACTAAATATTACCACTTCATCAAGTATTTTTTTCTGTAAAGCTTGTATTTTGGAGACAAATGTAGCATGTCCAAATAAGAAAGCAGTTGAGGACCTAGCAGTGCCTGATAAGAACTTAATTTCTGACTTTTTCAAAAGCTCTACCACTAGGGGAAATCTAATATTGTGTAATGTAGAACCTAGTATTGCAAGGAGGAAGTTTTTTTTTTTTTTTAGTTAATAACTAAACATGATGGGTGAATTTAGTATTACCAGAGAAAGGTCAAATGTTTGCAGATAAGTACTCTATGTTGCCAGACAAAAATTAGTTTTTTACCATTTTTTTTAAACTGTGACAGATAAAAATATTATATTTCCAGAAAAAAACAAATGTTGATACACAAGAATAGTATATTTCCAGATAAGGGATACTGTTTCAATGTGCATGTGTCTACAGTTGTCAAGAACATGTTGAATGACCCCACATGTTCTCTCATCAACATGGTTTACTGATAATCTTATTTGTATGTACACTGCACACAGTATGGTTTGTATATTATTTCAAGGCTATCTCTGAAGCTTTTTGCCCGAGTAGTTTAAATGTTCTTTTATAGCGCAAGGCAATAGACATGTAATTGTACTTTGAGATTTGCACTCTGAACACTCCCATAAGTGCTCCATTCCCATCCTCAGCAGCAAATGAAGAGTTCTAAGTCCGATGGCACCAGTAGCTGTCTGATTGTATGTCCGTCTCATCCTTCCCCTGAGTGTTGAGTGTCTGCCAGATCCCCTGGTAACTCCTCACAGTGCCATTCTCCTCTTACCGTAATGATCTATCTGCGCATCTGCATTGTTCTCTCATTTCCAAAGGGCTCTCACAATATCTATATCAATTCTGGTAGTCTGGTAGTCTTAGTTTCAGCTTCATAGCAAACGGGTCACCCCATCTTTGCTCCGCTCCTGTGCCAACGAAAAACATACAGAATGTTTATCACAGTATTAGAATTGCAGTTCATCATTGATGGTAGCAGAAGTCGCCAACAGATCAACAGTTGCCCACGCGATCAATTTTAATCACATACGGGCACCACAACACTGCACGACAGGCATCGCGCCATTTTCTGAATCTACAATTCACACCAACACGTTGGTCACAGTCAAAAAAACATTCCAAATACAATCCGCAGCTCACAGGGTCACGCCATGCATTCATTTCAGAAGCTGGGCGATGAAAATATATCCAGTCTACAAATAGAGCAAAAATGCATCGGCCACCATCCGGCAGAAGCAAAAAAATTTGCCTCTGTTTCGAACAGTGCCGCTACCTAACGTCCATTTTGACCGGAAGTCATCTATATCAGTTCACTACCAAGTGGTGCAGAACTGGCCAGTCTATATGCCTGCTCATTTCCTAACTTACTGGCATGACCTGGAGAAAATATCCAAAGGTTGCTAACTACCTGGGACCTCTGAAGTGATGCTTGCCACTCTACACGAAGCATGCCTGTCTTTACCTTTCTCAACATGCTCTGTGAGTCAGTTACAATCAGGGCATGTGTGTACAGCAGATTGTCAAGCCAGCAGAAGGCAACAGAGACTGTATGCACCTCCGTTATCAAACTAGACGTTGTGATACCATATGCAAGGCTTTGTTGCACTAAGCGACGTCCATTTGCCTTTGCTATGAATCCCTATGCACTTTGTCTGCCCCTCAGCACAGAGCCATTTGTATAGAAAATCACATCACCTGGGCGGGAATTGTCATTAATTATTTGTTGAACTTCTGATTCTGCAGCACCAGCTGACCAGTCTCTGCACAAATGACCTAAGGTGATTAGAACCCCACACAAGTCTTAAACATGTCCGGACACCTTGACCCGTACTCTCCTCGCTCAAATTTATCAAGCCTGCACATGTGTCCAATAGTGTTTTTAGCTTGTGCCATCCAAGGCCTTCCTCTTTTCAGTCTGTGACTCTTAGCTCTACCCAGGGCTTCATGCAGGGGGTTCTTCTTGTCCCCAGCTACTCTGAGATATGACTTTGCCTGCAGAACTTTGAGCCTATCTGCAATAGCAGGCAGTGCAAGTATATATATCGCACACATTCTACCGGGGTATCTCTTGTACATCTAGTATTTGAACTCTGCACTGGCTGCTGAAGGTGAGGACAGAGCACACATGGAAATGCCCTGAGTGCTGTGATGTCAATTCTTGACACAACTAAACTCAACTCCTGTACATCCCAGAATTTCCTGCATGGCTTCCTTCTGTTTGTGTTCAAGCTGACTCTTTGATATGGTAAGCATTCCAAGTCCATAATCTATCACCGACAGGATCACATGCTGGAACAATGTGAACAGTATTCTTTGTTCCATGTCCATTGCTGCCATAATCTTGAGAGCATTGAGTCCTTTTTGGCATTTCATCGCAACTGCCTCTATGTGATCCCAAAAGGACAGGCTTCTATCGAAAGTTATCGAGATTTGTATAAAGATAAATGTATACTCACACAAGGACAAGAAGTCATCATTCCTTCATCATATAGTCAGAAAAGAGAATGTTATAACTAGGAAGACAGACAGATGGATTGGCTGATTGATGTAGAAAACTGCTAGTGGTCAAACTTACCAGGCATACCCAAAAAAAAAAAAAGGATGATGCGGAGGAGCATGATTTTCTAGAAGATAAAAGGTAAAGTCGGGAGATGTGAACCTGCGTCATTACACAGGGTTATAAACCCTAAGTGCTGGGGCACCAGTACGGACAGCTGATAAGAAACTGTCCGCCTGTGTCGCTGTCCGCACGTAACTCTGTAGCTACAGTGACGTTCCTCCATTTACCCCAGAGTGTTACTCTGGTACCCATTTCCTAGAGGCTGGGTGAACCCTGGGAGTGGCCCGGTTTCTAACACCAACTGTGGCTGCAGCGAGTCACAGCTGGATTTGAAAGCGAGCCTCCTATTGACTGCACTAACACGGCTCCCACAATATGATTTTCTGTGTCGCCCAACATAGTACATGAATTGTTCTAGCTGAAAGAGATTTTTACAAGTACCGGAGAAATGATTGCACTGACACCAGCTGAAAACTAGCAACAAATACTCTATCAGTAATACATCATTACACTATTGACAAAAACAAATGAAAGCTATTATTACAACTACTTGCCAAATAGAAAACAATAAGTGAAGAATGATGTCAGAAAAAGGTGAATCTTACAGTTTGTAAATGAGTGAATCAATAATAAATGAAACTAAAATATCACCTACTGAGGAAAATAATTGCTGCCGCTATTAAAATTAATGTGAATGTTACATGGCATGTGCACTTCAAGTTTGAGTCTGCAGCAGAAGTGTCATCTTCATGAAAGAAATCCACAGTTCCTGCTTCCCCTCCTGCCTGCATTTGTAGAAACTGATCACTGCTGGAGTCTCCTTCATTGTGACTGTGACCTTCAGAAAGGTTATTTTGTGCCCTGTTCTGTGACAGACTGACTGTATTGTCAGACTCCTGTAATTGGTCATTAGTGCCAGCCACAATCCCTGTAATTTGACTGATCTGTTGCTTGTCTGGACAACCCAGCCACCAGCTATCAGTGCCACGAGGATAAGACTTGTCCACCTGATGACAAAATGAGAGATTTGTGAATGCATCATCATCATAACCACCACAACTACCATCATTATAAGCATCATGATCACTACTGTCAATGTCATCATTAAGATTACTTCAGCATGTGTGAACATGGTCCAAATCTAAGATGACATAACCTCCACTTAAAACAGGACACATGATGCCAGTTTGTTTACAGCAGCTAGTGAGCAGGGGAGATAAGACTCAACTAAGTGAAACTAATCGAACTAAAAATAATAATAATTTTGATTTTGAATCATCTAATGGCCTTAGAGATGTGAAACATGAACATAACCTAATTTGAATAGAAAAGCTGACAAAAAACCATGGCAGTCCAAGGTTATTTTCTAGACGATTTGAATGACAAGCAAGCAGACCCTGAGGTCTAAGAGTGAAAACAATACTCAAGTTTAAAGATACAGGTGAAAGAATTTGAACTTGTGTTTTAGATTAAAGACCCCCTATTCCATGAAACACATGTGCTACTGCTGGACAATAGACACCAAAACACTGCACTGCTCCAGCTATAGCTTCAATGTGGCCACAGAGTCTGGAGGCGAACTGATGGCTGGTACTGTGTGACATTTTATGACCTGTAACTGCTTCATTTTCTATTTTTTCTTGTCCTTCCTTTGATGACTGCATCAAGAAATAAACATGTATTTATTCCTAGCCAGTATCAGATTTTGAGGTTTGAACAATGGATCAACATCATGGCACATGGGTAGTAACCCATAAGTGTTCCCTTCTTCTTCAACTCAAGTCCGAGTCTGAAGAAGCTCAGCACAGTGCACAGGCTCTGTAACACCGGCGAAGATCCTGAAATACTTTGGGTAGATTTTAAATTCTAAATTTTTACCGGGCAGCAGCGTTAGGCTACTCTTTTTGATTTCCAACTGCCAAGGGATTTTTTACGTGCGCAACAGTGCTCACGGGCATCCAATCTGACTACCCAGAGACAAGGGGGAATTACTAGAAGTCCAAGTCCACGAAAAAAAAACCCAACTCTTACAGTGGATTGAACCTGGAACCTCTAGCATTCGAGGCGGACACCATGCCTCGAGACCACGCAGCCCCCCGAAATAAACATGCAAGACAAATTAAATTTAAAACTGCTGATGGCTGCTGTTTTAGCTGGCCAGTTGTTAATGCAGCTCTGCTGTGGCTTTGCCCACAGTATTATGACGATTGTGTTTTATGTTATGGAACACAAATAAGTTCATTAGCATCCAGAGCCAATTAGATTAACCAGAAGGATTCATTAAAGAGACTGCATGTCATTCATTTATAAGAAGAAGATAAGGTCTGCTGTCATGGCAATGTTAGACGGAGAATCTACACTGCAATGTGTATGCAGATTTATTTACTTAATATGGTTTCAACACTAGTCAACATGTTTAAATACTGAAAGGTTGCCATCCCAATGGGGAGGTACTGCAGAATTCAGAATCCTGTCACCGTAGACACTGAGATCAGGGCAATGACAGAACAGCATTCACATTCAGCAGACATCAACACCTACACATTTGGGTGTGTAAAATGCTGGTCAAGGTCTGCATGGGCATACACAGCACAAAGGATAGGGAAAAAAATAGAACAGGATAGTGGTGTGTACCAAGCAACTATGGTAAGCATGACCATAGAGATAACAGCTGACTCAATACACTCGCTTGGGCAGCAGAACAAGGCGCTATTATGCGGTGATCATATCAGACCCAATGAATACTTTTCAGATAATAACAATAGGCATCCTGCACTCTAAATGAGTAGGCAGCATTATGAAGTTACCACCCTCACCTGGATCTTCATACCTGGACATGTCAGAGTAAAAGGTAATGAACAAGCATACCAGCTGACAGGTATTTCACCAGTGCATGCAGGAAAATGGAGAGAGCACTGTTCAATTTGCAGATAGTAAAGAATCAATGATGCTGCATGTACTCAGAATGAAGCATTGTAAAACATGTGCCTTCTTTGAGGTCAAGATAGGAGACATAACCAACTTCTCATCTGAATAGTCAGTAGAGGAACCTTGGGGTGACTGCTGCATCAGAGGACTGAGCATGCATGGGAATACCCAAAGTGCAGTTAAGTCAATTGTGATAACATAACAATCAGACAGGCAGACACAGACAATCGACAACAGATGGGTATTTAGGTAGGCTGACTGGTTAAGATGTATGAATGATGCCTCTCTAAAAGCTTTTGAGCTAGGCAAGCAATGATTCAGTTCATCAAAAGACACCAAAAAACATTCACTGGATAGGCTCAGTCTGTTCTAACAATTATAAACACATTATATACAAAACTATTCAAACATATTCTTACTCTAAAATCAACATCATTGTAGCGGTAGTAGAGATCACCACTAAAGAAATATGTCCGGCCATTCTTCCACTTGAGAGCGGCATCAATATGAGATGGTAACCCCACCCACACAGACATCGGTTTTGGGTAGCCAGGATCAACATGGCTGACAGTGTACCTCCAGTACTGGTCACCTGAGACAGAGGAAAGCCAAAACCATCAATGTTATTCCTGTATACTGCTATAAATCATCTGTTTAGTCTAGGTAACCATCAAATATTCTAGTCATTAAAAAGACCCAGCATTTCTAAATTTCAAAAGGAGGGCCGAAGGAAAAGTTTATAACAGGCAAGCATCAAATAGGAAATATGGTCAAGAGCCTAGGTGAATGGAATTACTAACAATTATGCCAACAGAATACAATTAATTTTAACAGGTGAACCCTTGGTGACAGCAAGAATGCTAATCATTATACTCTCTCAACTTCCCTTTCAATACTAGCTAGTCATTAAATAAACCTATGATACTCCACTTTTTATTTGAACTCTTTAATCCTTAGCTAGTTTGCTCAGTTGGTTTCCTACAGGGCACTCCATTGTCTCCAATCCTTTTCAATATTTACACAGTCAAGATCACAGTGACAACAACTGAATGGCTGAGTAAGAACTCTATTATGGAATGAGGATTATATCCTCATGTACTGACACGTCATCCTGGTGCAAAACCTCATGGGCAACAATTAATCCATCAAAAGTGACAGTCACCTGGTTCTCATTAAATAATCACCTTTCCAAAACACCAGTGTCGATGGTTAAACTCTGCGGCACTGACGTTGAGAGATCTGATTCTATGAAATCTGGTAATCTGGTAATCCTAGTTTCAGCTAGGATGTGTTTATCCATGAAATACCTGGGTATAACATTTGATTGATGCTTAGCATTTAAAAAACATGCTCACCACATTATAATCAAAGCCAAGAAAGGTCTCTCTGCAAAAAAAGTTATGGGAGCTGCAAGCTGTGAGCAGCAGCTACTTGTAATGCTATATCATGGCTTAGCTCTCTCCACCATTGAATATCCACTGGCTATCACGACACTCAGCACCACACAGATGAACAGATTGGAAAAAATTGAAAAGAAGGCAAAGCGCATTATTCTTGGATGCAGTAGAGTACCACACCTCGTGTAAATCCATACAATACATCTTGGATTTCCCCACAATGGAAAACAGAATCAAGCTATCCAGGGCTGTTGCTTTCCTCAAAGTGAAGCCAGAACCTGGACACCCACTGCATGAGGAATTATTCAAGCAAAAAAATAATAGACCCAAATTAGGAAAATCACTGGATGGGTCACACTGAGGATGCCATAAAACATGTTTGCTGCCTTACTGACATTAATTTTGATACTGAATGATACCCATGCCTCCTGCACCAAACATTAACATTATAGTCCACATCAAATTTGGTGGAAGCTGCAGAGAGCAGATTCCTGGCATTGTGGACACTTTAGTCAGAACACTGATTGACGAAAACACAAACGAAGGTGATACTATAGTTTACATAGACAGATCAGTAATTCGGGGCAAGCGAAGTGCATGAGCATTCACATTAAGCTCAAGGGGGAAAACCGTCAAGGAGATGAAAAACGCCTTTGCTGTTACAACCAGCCGCCTTACAATGGAAAGCTATAGTTGTAACAGGGGTATTAGCATAGCTTGGCGCATACTTAGTGACTAGGTAAACATGCTTAAACAAAATCCAGGGTGGTTTTGTCAGACAAGAATGGATTGCAAAACTAAGCGCTTCACGACTGGCTGCCCTAACTTACAATTTTGTGCCAGGTCATGCGGGTTTTCAAGGGAATGAGCGTGCAGATCATCTTGCCGACACAGCGGTTGCTATGACTAGTGCAGTACTGGACGGAAGCAATGCTATCAGTGCCATGCGCAGCCCTTACCATACCAAGGAGCACGCCAGTGGACATGACTCGGTATCCCTCTCTAGACTAATGGACATGGGGGTGCAGCCTGGAGCTACCAGAAAGAAACATTTCACTAAGAGGACTAGACGTTTAATTAATCAACACAAGACAGATATCATTAGTCGTTTTACACTTATAGAGCTATTGGGGAGAAGATCAGAGCACCTACAGATGTGTCCATAGTGCTGTGATGATAATCTTTACTAAACATTAATCAGTAGTTCTCAGTCAATTAAGTCCAGACAAGAGTCGGGACAACTCTATGGCTTTAACTCCTTCTGTATTATATTCTATCAGTTTCTTCTTGTACAGCCACTAAGACTTTCTTCTCTCTGTCTCATATTACTTAACTCTTTCTGTACCACACAGTTATTATTTTAATTCATTATTATTTTTTATCAAAACCATTATTTTATTTAAACAAGAACTATATGACATTTTTAGACCACATTTTAAATTAATTCAAAGACAAGAATCATGAAATGTAAACACAAAAATGTCACCATGAAAATTATACAAACCAGGAGTCTTAGTGGAGCAATGATGAACACAATACAAGGCACTTCATATTTTTTAGCCTCCACTGCTTAAGCCTACCTCGCTTTCAGTTGGTGGACCCTGTTCTCCCCAGTAATCCAATGGAAGGTTGGGGTTTTAAACTTCAGTGGGAAACCAGATGGGACAACAAATAAGGTAAAAACTAAATCTGGTTCCGTCAGCATGCTACTGAGTGCAAGACACAATACTATGAGCTGTGAATTCCATGGGGAAAGCTTTTTACCAGTGCTGTGGAAATGTTGGTTGTATACTGTATATTGAGAAATGTGCGAGTAACTGTTTGCAAGATAATTGGTAGTGTACCTTCAGCAGTAATGTCTGTCCACCTGCTGGTTTGCTGTGACTGCTGCTTCTATCATCTGTGAATTGCTACGAAAATACAAGGAATTGTGGAAAGAACAAACTAACAGTAAACATTTACAAGACCCCATCAGCAGACTCAACAGAAAGCAACATGCAAGAACTTTCACCTACAAACAGGACACTGCAGGTTCAACTGCAACATGCATAAAAAAAAGACTGTACAGTCCCCCCAGTGTGCCTGTCAAACAGGACCACAAACACCTGAGCACATTCTGCAAACCTGCCCACTCTACCTACAACTTCGAAAGGACACCTGGCCTCAAGAGAAAAATGTGCAGTGCAAGCTATGTGGGACTATGAAGGACCTGCTGCTGACATGCGAGCGAGTTTATAGAGGCAACACACCTGATAGTCTGATCTGAGCATATGAAACTGAAAGTAAAGAAGAAGAAGAAGAATTGCAACTCTAGAGACAGACTGTTAGTACTTTGACCTCTTGTGGCTGCCTTATGCACTTGCTGCATGTGTGAGCTGTTGCATTTTTGCTGGGACTGCTGTATCTTTAACTTTTCACATCAGACAGTGATGGGCAATCTGTGGGTCTTCATTGGCACAGGAAAAAAAAAGAAATGATAAGGTGATCTGTCTGCGTTGAAATTAGAACCCCAACTGATCATATTTAGCCTGACACAAACTATTGTTGCAAGAGTAGTGAATTTGAAAAACAATAATTTGAAAACAATTACTTACCTTTTATAAAATATGTTTTCCCATTGCCACCCCATACAAAGGAGGCATCTATATTTCCAGGAATACCTTTGAATCCTTCTGAGATACTGCGTACGTATATTAATTTAAAGTTGTAGAATTTCCAGTAGTAATGACCCTGTATTCATGAAATGCAAACAAAATTATTACACTTACATTGTGAAAGTTAATTTTGTTAAACCCTTAGTGAGAAGGAGACATGGCTGTAGGGGCAAAGTGTTGCCCCAAATTCAAGTTCTGTCAAGTTTCAATCCCAGCAAGCTGCAGCGAATCAAAAGGATCATTTCTTGGGAAAAGAGATCCTATCCTACTTGAAAAAGCAAATAAAAAGCAGTGTTAAAAATCTCACATGAAGCTGGAAATACAAAAATCAGGCCAGTAAGAAACAGAACCTGGGCACAGATGAACAAAGCCAGTAGGAAACAGAACCTGGGCACAAATAAACAGAGCCAATAGTAAACAGAACCTGGGCACAGATGAACTGAGCCAGTAGGGAACAGAACATGGGCACAGATGAACAGAGCCAGTAGGAAACAGAACCTGGGCACAGATGAACAGAGCCAGTAGGAAACAGAACCTGGGCACAAATAAACAGAGCCAATAGGAAACAGAACCTGGGCACAGATGAACAGAGCCAGTAGGAAACAGAACCTGGGCACAGATGAACAGAGCCAGTTACCTTAGAGGACATCTATCCAGGAGAATAGGGGGAAAGACATGTTCAGTGTAAACATTCATACAGTTAATGCATCTTTAAAAGTATAAATACTTTCTGTTACTTGATTAATCTTTAAAAGTAAAAGCAGCCAGCATTGCATTAGTCACATCATCCTTTAAGTACTAATTGATCCATAATAAATTTTGGTTTAGCACTATATACTTGATTTGCCAAAGGCATGAAAAGTTGTTTTTACCATGACTCCAAAAATTAAGTGGGTAATGTAGGTACTAGTGGCATCTCCCAAACTGAGAGAAAGACAGAGAGAGAGAGAGAGAGAGAGAGAGAGAGAGAGAGAGAGAGAGAGAGAGAGAGAGACAGAGAGAGACAGAGACAGAGAGAGAGAGAGAAAGAGACAGAGAGTTGAGTCAAGAATTGACATCACAGCACTCCGGGCATTCCTATGCATCTCTGTTCTCATCTTCAGCAGCCAGCGCAGAGTTCCAATACTGATGGTACTGGTCACAATCTGGTTAAATGTTCATCTTGCCTTTCCTCTGAGTGTAGTCTGCCGGCCAGACCCTCTGGTTACACCAAGGTGCCTCACTCTCTCCAGGCCATAATAATCTTCTTTCTCTACTGATTCCATTACTTGTTCCCAAAGAGCCTCGACCACATCTGCCTTGTCATGTATCAATTCACCAGCTAGTGGTGCGAATCCAGTCAATCTGTCTGCCTTTTCATTACCTACCACGCCGGCATAGCCTGGAGAAAAGATGCAAAGTATGCTCACTATCCGTGACCTTTCCAGTGAAACTTGCCACTCTGCTCGAAGCATCCCTTTCTTCACTTTTTTCAGCATGCTTTCAGAGCCTGTTACAATTACCACATGTGTATGCATCTTGTTCTCTAGCCACTGGATAGCTGCAGTTACCGCCTCAACCTCCATTCTCTTGTTAGATGTTGTGGTGTCATATGCTAGGCTGACTAGCACTAAAGATTTTTAATTGGCATTCGCTACGAATCCCCAAGCACTTCTCTTTCCTCTCAGCACCGAACCATCTGTATAGATATTCAGATCACCTGGGCGTGAATTGTCATGAATCAACTGTTGGACTTCAACCTCTGTACCACCCGCTGGCCACACTCTGCACACTCGGCCAAATGTTATCATAACCCTACACAGGTCAGACATTTCCGCTGGCACTCTGACCCACTCCTCTCCTCACCCAATGTTCTCCAGCATGCATACTTGTCTTATTGTGTCTTCTGCTTGAGCCATCCACAATTTTCCCAATTTTAGCCTCTGACCCTTGCCTGCAGCCAAGACTTCATACAGAGGGTGTTCCCCGTCTGCAGCTACTCTGAGGTATGAATTAGCCTGCAGTACCTTTAGCCTATATGCAATAGTCGGCAATGCAAAAATGTATCGCATGCACACAATCGGGGTGTCTATTGTACAACCCAGGATCAGCGGCATAGATTCATTCTGAATGCGCTTCTGTTTCTCTAGCTGATTCTTAGAGACAGTGAGTAACCCTGATCCATAATCAATCACTGAGATAATTAAGTGCTGGTAAAGTGTGAAGAGGTTTCTCTGTTCCATGTCCATCGCTGCCATAATCTTTAGTGCATTTAGACCTTTTTGAGCCCTTGTCACAGCTCCCTCTATGTGATCCCTGAAAGACAAACTTTTGTCAAAGGTGATTCCCAGGTACCACAGTCTGCTGTCTCTTTTGATGTCCCTGCCATTTATTTTAAGTATGGGAACATCAGCTCTAACAATCATGTTGTCCAAAGAACACCATAGGACAGTTGCCTTTTCTGGGTTGATTACAGCACTCATCTCTGTACACCAGTCGATCACCTTATCTAGTGTTGCCTGTAACTCTTGAGCTATTTGATTCCAATCTGTCCCCTTCCTATTTACATCATCTGCAAATGTCAATATTCTAACAACTCCAGGTGTTTCCAGGCAGGCAATCTTGTTGGTAAAAACATTGAATGGCACAGGTGAATTGCAGATCCCTGCAGCAGTCCTTGAGCTATATTACATGGTTCAGAGGTCAATGAACCCAGGTGGAGAGCTACCCGGCGAGTATACAAAACGGCTGCTATCCAATTCACCAGCCAAGGACATACTTCCTTCTCCATAAGCGCTTTCATCAAGATACTGTTTCTGACTCTGTTGTAAGTGTCTTCTAAATCGAGTGCCTCTGCCACCGTTTCCTGTATCAAAGGCAAAAGTGGCTACATTTGACCATGTGTCCTTCTCTGGCCGGTAACTTTCCAATCCTCGTGGAAGGAGATTTCTCTGTTCCAAAAATTCTTGTAGTTTACCCGCCACTATCTTCTCTAGCACTTTACCAAAGGTGTTTTGTAGGGTTATGATCCTAAAGCCACTGAGTGTTGTATGATTCTTGTCAGGCTTAAGAAGAGGAATCAGGTAGCTGTGCATCCACTCTTCTGGGACTGAAGCTGTCCTAATGCTCTGATTGAAGCAAGCAGTCATATCCAACAGGTTTGCATGACTCATGTCTTTCGTGTGGGAATATCTAACCCCATTGGGCCTTGGTGCAGTGTCTTTCGCCCTTTTCAGAACACATTTTACATCTTCCACCTGCATAATGCCTTCATAATGTTTGCTCTTTAAGATGGCTGCCAGATCTTCTCTAACTCTATCTCTGTTATCTCCATCATTGTGGTCTGTCTGTGAAATGAACCTCTTCAGAAAAGCCTCCCCCTTCTCTCTGTCTGTAGTTAATAACATACCGTCATCTCTATGAATTTCTCCTTCTATGCTGGGCCAATCTTTCTTGAGCATCTGTCTATGTAGCTTCCAAAACTTTCCAATGTTTTATCGCTCCCAATCTCATCAATAAAATGCTCCTATTTTGGTTTCTGGCCTTTGCCGTACAGCGCTTGAAAACTCTGTCTTATTTTTGTTATCTCTTTCCATGCACTCCAACTCCTCCTATGAGCTTAGGGCTGTCTGTCGCACTTTCTTTAAAATCTTTACTGCAGCTTTCTTTAAATTCCATGCCTGTTCAACCTCTGATGTCCACCATGGAGGCTGCACAAAAGTAGATCTGCCGACCCTCTTACTGTCGGAGGAGTCCAAGAAGGGTGTTAGTCAGCTCATAACTGAAGCGCCTATGAGCTCTTGAAGTCTTGACTTTCCTGGATTTGGAAATCAATACCGAACATGGCAGATGGTCACTTCCATGATCGCCCAGAACAGTCCATTTGATGTCCAGTACTGCTGACTGGGTAACCAGAGCCAGGTCAATAGCCATGTCTGCATCGCCGGGCCTCATTGCCATTCTAGTTGGTGTCTAATCATTTAAACAGACAAGGTCTGAATCAACCATGGCGTCAGCAAGTGCAACTCCCTGTCGGTTTTCCCCAGTACAGTCCCAATCATTGTTCCGTGCATTGAAATCCCCACAAATGAGGAGCCTATTGCCAGGAATCTCCTCCAGGTCTTTCAGCCAGTCCAACTGTTGTTTTGTAACTTAAGAGCCCACGGCAGCATATACATTAATTATGTTCCAACGTAGGCCACTAGTCTCCATTTGTATTCCCTGCACCTCTCTAGCATCATTATTCCAGAGACTCAGGTCAAGCACCACATGTTTCAAGTCCTTCTTCACTGGTAGACATTGCCCATGTCTCCCATAATGTCCAGCAGGGTTTACGTAACTGAAATATCCAGGGCAATGATATTTGTCTGCATTCAGCTCTTGAAGCATGACTATATCAAAGTCGTAAATCAACCTCTCTAGTATGGGCCCTCTCTGTCTGGCACTACGACAGTTCCAAAAAACACACTCTCACATGATTGAACCCCAGTCATTATGTTTTTCGCCTAAATCTCCTGGTTCCTGCCCTTCTATTTCTCTGCTTTCTTCTCTCATCATTTCCTTATTTTCTCCTCTCTGCTTGCTGAAGATGACGTCAAGTTGAAGTTGAAGTTCTTATGGAGCAGGAAGTAAACGGTCACCCTAGTATTGCCTGCTTGCTAGGGAAGAGGCAGAAAATGTCCTGACGGAGTCCATATGCCTGGCGCCGCCCGACCTGCTAACTAGATGTTCCACGTTCATGACTGTATAACCCACAGTCATTAAGCCCATAGGCACGTAGGTCTACCATAGGCTTAGGGTTTTTTATCGGGGTTGTCTCCTCTAGATCCGTTGTGTTTTGTGCCTCTTCAGTCATGCACAACGGTCTTGACTGTAGAAGGGATTTTCTGATTAAGAAACATGCAACCTAAGTGTGCCGCTTTCACCCTATAAGTACAAGTACTCACAGGGCTAAACGTAGTTCTTGAGACAGAACAGCTAGTGTGCTCCACTGCTCGAGAGATCGAACATCTACAGTCCTGGATCACTGATCCTTCTGTATTTTAGTGCACAATAATCATGATGCAGACGTAAAAGTTAAGCTGAATTGCGAACTGACGTTATGGAAACCATTCTGATACTGAATACAACATTTAAATATCATCATGTGGCAGAACAATCACTGATCAAAATCTACTGCAAATGTTCATTAAATGGTGCCTAAGCAGAACTAAAAAATTATAATGGTAGAACAGAATCACTAACATGGAGATAGGGAGAGAACGAGCAAATTCTAGATATCACGAGGTGAGGAACATACTGATGCTGGATATGACAAAGAGAGAGAGAGGGGGAGAGAGAGATAGAGGAGGAGAGGGGGAGAATAAAAAGGGAGGGGGAGAAAAGAAAAACCGTATAAAAAAGACACGAAACGATCTAAATACCCATGTAACAAAAATCCACCCACACTGGACTACATGTTACATTATAACCCTTTTGTGATGGCCATATATAACTGTGCTATAGGGCTGAACTGTGTTTCCTGGATTTGTACCTTGGCCCACACCCTTGTTACTCCTGCAGAATGCAAATCTGAAGGGATAAAAACTTAAAAAGGAAAACTGAAAATACAAGAAGGAAATAATTAGAGAGATTAATAATAATATTGGGGCAGAGTGGAAGGATCGACAGTTAATAGAACAACCCCACATGAGTTGACTGAGGGTGTATGCTCTAACCATGGACAAAGGACAGTAGAAGAAGGCACAAAGAGTTAAAAGCAATAATGCATTTTCGGGTCTAATTATTCTATGTCTTCAGTTTCTTATTGAGGAAGATCTTCTCCAGGCCGATCCAGGGATATTCAAAAGCTAGCATCAGGATTAGGGCAGTCATGTTAGTTTAGGACTTCGGTTTTACAGAATGTGACAACAATGCTGGCATCCTCGATGTAGTAGAGCCACTTCCGATCTAGTACTATTTGAACAGAAGGTACAACAAGTGGTGACCAGGACAAGATGCTGTTGATAAAGTCTCAGTCAACCGAGGCACAGGCAACGATGACCCAGGTTCCACAGCATTGTAAAATGTAGCCCTACCAACACTGCTGACACTTTTCCCCACTGACGTCAACACAGAGGCTGATGTCAACACAGAGGCGGTAAACAGCTGCCAGAGTGATGACCATTGGGATCATCAAGCCGAGACACATCTCATTTTTACCCTGCCTCCAGTGACTGACAGACAGTAGCCAGCTGAGATGCCCACAGTGTAAGTACCAATGCGGCACCACGGCTTGATGTAATAGTCTTGGAGCAAGAGGGACGTGTTCAAGTTATCATTTGCAGTATTTTCACTGACTAAGGTGGCTGGCCACTGATTCTGGGTCAAAACAACGCCAATCGTGATCCAACTGGTAAGCAGGAAGCACACACAGACAGTCGCAGCGACCACTGAAGCAGAATGGGATGATTGTCAAAGGGCTCACAAGGAAGAACTGCACATCACTGGCCAAGCAACAGGTATGAGCTATACACATTTTCTCAGCACTTAGTAAACTGTTGACATAAAGGAGATTTGTCCACCAGAACTTCCGCAATTGTTCCTATCCACAGATTGAACCGGACACCACAAGGCTCCAGACTCCTTGTGCTGCATGAGAACCAGGACAATCAACCGTGTCAACGTGTATGGAGGAGTTGGCAGAAGAGACTATCTCCTGAACATATTGTGTAATTTTCCTCAGTTTGTGTGCTGCTGTCACCTAAATCATACAAGAACTGTGTTGGGCTCATGAAAACTCAGTTTGAATCCCAAAAATCAATACCTCTTAGCACCCAGCCTATTGTAAATAAGGTGTCTATAGACAATTCTATGATGAGAATATAAAATTTAATATTGTCTGTTCAAAAGCACAGTGAAGATCAAAATCTGTTCTTGAATTTAAAGAAAATGAAAATAATGTTCACAGATAAAACTGGCTGTCACCCAAAAATAACAATAAAAGATGAAGAAATTGAAAATGTCACAAACTTTGAATATCTAGGCTCTATAATATACAGCAATAGAGACTGTTTGACAGAAATTAAAAGGAGGATGGCCATAACAATGCAAAAAATTGAACAGCCTTAAAAGTCTATTGTTAAGTACCAGCAAGGAGATCAAAATTAGAATTTTGAGAGCCTGCATCTTCCCTGTGGCTACATACGAATGTGAGTCGTGGACTATCTCTCAGTCCTTAAGAAAGAGAATAGGGGCTTTTGAGCTGAAATGCTACAGAAAGATTCTCAGATTATCTTGCACAAAGAAGAGAAGAAATACTGACATCTTGAAAGATCTGAAAATCAAGGAAGATTGGCTAATAAACAGCATCCTGTCTTGGAAGCTGAAATATTTTGGTCATATCAAGTGACACGACGGATTGGAAAAAATTATAGCAGAAGGCATGGTATCAGGAAGGAGGGGCAGGAAATCACTGACATGAAGATGGGCACAGGATATAAGAGATTCCTTGAGTATTCAAATTTTCCTACAACTGAATGTGTACTGAATGTGTCATGACTGTACCATTTTGTTTCAAGTGCTAACAACATCCACACAGCTGATTCTGTTGTATACTGCCAATTAGCTATGAGTCAGATGCAAGGTTTTCTTTCATTCTCTCTAGTCTTTTGCTTCTTTTGGTCATTTAGAACTGTCTTCCAGCCATCTGGCTTCTGGCTTCTTTAGGTCAGAAATCTTTTCAACTGATTTGTGATGAAATGATTCTAAACAATTTTTTTTCAATACGCCTGTTTTAGTTTGTGGTTTGAGGTTGGACTACACTTAAAGTGAATTACACTTTTTATATGTATTTGTGGTTCCACAATGAATACATCTGTGTCTTAAGTACATGAGGCAGGAGAGCTGGCGAGCGACCAAGTTTCTTTCAGGCAAACTGTGATGAGAGTGACGTTCTGCAAAGGACCTGCTACATGATGATGATGATGATTGACACTTCACTGCCTTGATAATGTCACATTTCATGTGGGCGCGGAGACATTCACCGTGTGTGTTACTTGTATGGTTGCAATTCAGACCGCTGAGAAAATCTTGATCTCTGCTGTCATCCACTGCTTTATCTACCATGAATCTGATAGTGACAGCTCTGACCACTTCACAGTTGCTGCATTATCATTCAGAGCGACATTTTGACCTCCACTGACATAGACTGTCTCGAGGTAACCAGGTGAATTGCAAGGTCACCAAGTCAGTAAAACCCAATAGGTCACAGTGTATGGCTAGAGTTATGCTGTATACAAACTGCTTCCGCTCATTGGTACAGGCTATTGTAGATTTCTTGTCCCACAATGACAGCTCCAAGTCATTGAGGCTGATCGCTGTTCTTGGTGCGGTCCGGTGCACGCGAGAGAGAAACAGAACAGGAGAGGGAGAGATTTGTGACAGATTTATCACAACTAAAAAACATTAACAGCTGTGTTTAAATTAATGAAATGTTAAACCACCTGAACATAAATTGAAAGCTGTAATCTATAAAATATGAATCCCACCTTAAAAATATAGGTGTATCCGTTATCCCAGTGTAAGGCACTGTCTATTGGACCTGTTATTCCTTTCCAGTCCTGATCAATTTCTTTTGGGTAGCCTTCATCTATTCCATAACTGTTTAGGCGATAATACTGTGTTCCTAGGTAATGAAGTTCAATTATAAATGCAAAAACAAGCACTGTGCTTGAAAATATATTTTTGCTAAGGAGAAAAATTTCAAAATTTTCTACAACTGAATATGTACTGGATGTTTCATGACTGTACCATTTTGTTTCAAGTGCTAATAACATTCACACAGCTGATTTTGTTGTATACTGCCAATTAGCTGTCAGTTCGATGCAAGGTTTTCTGTAATTCTCTCTAGTCTTTTGCTTCTTTTGGTCATTTAGAACTGTCTTCCAGCCATCTGCCTTCTGGCTTCTTTAGGTCAGAAACCTCTTCAACTGTTATGTGATGAAATGATTCTAAACAATTGTTTCTCAATTTACCTGTTTTAGTTTGTATATGGTTTAAGGTTGGACTACACTTTTTGTATGTATTTTTGGCTCCACAATGAATACATTTGTGTCTTAAGATCAGAAAGTCAGTCTTTTAGCAAATATATGGCTGAACTGATGAACTTATGTTTGAGTCCCTCGCAAAGAGACAGGAGGTTTCAAAATATTCCTGAGCTTTTCAGCAAACACAGACTGAAATAGGTAACAAACAAATTGTTTGGGAAGTTAAGATAGGTTTTCATGAATGAAAATTGAAATTCTACTTTCTGTCCTTGCAGAACATCAAAATAAACTAATTCCATTAAGTCCATTCTGTTTTAGTTTGTAGAAGAACAATATTGGAATAGTCTTCATTTTAGCAGACAGCATCATAGTAGTATTAGTAGTTGCTGTTGTTGCAGCTATGTATGAAGTAGCAGCAGCAGCAACTGTTGCTGTTGTAGTAGAATTTGTAGCAATATTAGTCAAATCAGTAATCAATTAATCAATTGCTGCCTCTAGAGCAATGGATCTCCAACAGGCTGTGTCTCTTGTCTTGGTTGTACACTCTCCCTGACTGCTGTTTGTTCATTTCTTAATATTTTCCTTCCACTGTTATCTTTGTCTACCTTTTGCTCTCTTGTCATTGACCTTTCCTTTATAATGGTTTTAAGAAAAGTGTTATGTCTTTTAATGGGGCCAATATATTTTAACTGTCTTTCTTTTAGGTCAGTAATTCTCTTTTCAGTCGCAGTCTTTCCAGAACCTCTGTATTTGATTGTTTTTATTTGTATGAAATACAACCCATTACTCTGTATAGCCATATTTCCAGAGACTCCATTTGATTTTCTAGCTGCCTGTTCATTGCCCAAGTTTCTGCACCATACAGCAGGGCTGAGTATAATCACAAGAGCCCTAATAGCAGCAGAAGATTCACAGTTGTTGGTGTTGTAGCAATATTTGATTAGCAGTAACAGCAGCAGTTACTGTATAATAATTGTAGCAATATTAGTAACAATATCAGTAATAATAGCAGCAACAGTAGTAGAGCCAGAGTAGAAGATACAGCAGTATCACTGCAGTAGTAATGGTATTTGCTGCAGTTGTGGGAATAATAGTAGCAGCAGTAGTTGTATTAGGAATAGTAGCAAAATCAGTAATAGCAGGAGCAGCAAAAACAACAGCGCTGGTAGTTGTAGAAGTTGTATCACTAGTAGCAGCAAAAAACAGTAGCAGCATTTTCTTCTCACCTCTAAATATGTAAGTGTAGCCATCTGAATTCATGGTAATGGCATCAATTTTAGAATCTGTACAGATTTTTGGTATTGTCAGAATGGGACCTCCTGCTCGTGTGGGTGGAATCTTTTCCATTTCTCGTCCTTTATAATGGTGACCTTGACATAAAGTGTATATGACTGTATATATGTCTGATGTTCAGATAGACTACCATGGCAAATCTTACGAGAACTATATTTTGGACAACACTACAATAGCAATGTTAAAACCTGGGTTCTTACTATATGATAAAAGGAAAATCACAACAACAGATATAAGATGCCCTAGAAAAGTTGCCAAAAAAATAATGAATAAACATAAATGAAGAAATTAGACACTATAACTGAAATAAGTCACACAATTCATTAAAGAAAATAGAATGGTTTAGATATGTGACAAGAATGGCTGGGCACCAACTGTCACAGAAAATAGATGTTAAGAAATATAATTAGCGCAGAGCCATAAGAAGAAAGACTGATGGAAAAGAAACTTAGAGAAATGGAGACCAATTTACAAATTGCATTTGAAAGAGTACACAGAAAAATTCTGACATTCTCACACCTTTCCCTCCTACATCCACCACTACAATATTTTACTGAAGTAAACGAAGGAAGAGAACCAGAAGAATGTGTATGTAAAACAAAAGAAAAGATCAGGATTGTAAAAACACTTTAAGATGAGATTTGGTATTTTTAAAAAAAAAAACTATATAAGTTCAATAATAAATAAGAAAAAGAGCACTGAATATAAAAACAGAATTATTATTACAGTATTACTGTTACATTATTAATAGGCATGATTACACAGAAGAACTATATGATGATAAATGATGAAATTCAAATAGTCAAGACCTTGATGAAAGTCTACCAGCCCATAGTCAATATGTTTCAACATTATGTTGAATGAAAATGAGGGTGTGAGTAGCTTTTTTTTAAAAAATAAACTGAGAATTAGTGATTAAAAACACATAATAAAAAATGACATCTATTATAGTAGGAATACTTGTTATTTACTCACATAAATGTATTTCTCCAAAACAAAAACCCAGAGGCTTTAGTATGTGAACACCATCACACAATAAATCTAATCAGTAGTAGTAGTAATACTTTTACCCCACTAGGAAATCACACAAGCGATAAACACCCGATGACACAGAGTGCCAACATGTGGATGAGGATCACCTATTGAGAGGTCCCGGAAACTGCGTTCAGCTATTAGGCCATATTTATGGCCGAGCTATATTGCGGCTTCAGAATAACGAACAATTGCATCCCACAAAGGAATTAGTAGATAATGATATAAAAATCTAATGAGCCATAACACCAAGCAATTGCTGATCATTATAACTATAAGAGTTTATGTAAACAAATTACCATAAAGTTCCTGTATAGCACCAATATCATCCGGGTCCAGTCGGAAATCTCTCTTGTAGCCTCTGTAGAATGGAGCCATGATAGCTGTGCTGACATCGCTGTGAGACAGGCCCAGGGAATGCCCAAACTCATGAGCTGCAACTTGCAACATATTCACTCCTGGACAGTTCAAAAGAGATGGCCAAATCTTCAACAACTATCAATAACGGCAGATATTTTAGAACAACTTTAAATTAAAGTAATAAAGTGTTAAATCTTCAATAACTTTCAACTGAACAGAGGCTGGCCAATGACCAAGTGATTACAAAAGTCAGGTATGGACATTGTAATAATGAAGGGGATTTTAACAACAAATTTGGTTGAGACAGAATGAAAGAAAGAGGATAAGGTCTGAGGCATTGTGGCATAGGAGACAGAAACCAGAAAGAAGAAAGCTTAATCACGTTCTTTATAGAAATAAAAGTGTGTCTATTACCAACACTATTTAAACAAAACCCAAGAAGGGACATCAATAGGTGGAAACAGCAGGCAGAAACCTTGAGTGTAGCTGGATACATGAACAATGAAGGAATGTAAAATGCCTGCACAGATCTTTCCCGAGCTGACTGTGCCACTTCTTAGTGCCGATTGTGTGTGTGCGTAATTTTAAAAAAAGTGTTGAAAGGAGCACTGCTGATGCATTTTAATATAATTAACATAAAAGTGAATACAATATTATAGTGAAAAATCGAATTTGAGGCACTGATAGCAGTATAGGACTGAAAACAACAATCCATCAAGCAAGAAACATCATTTCATCAGCTCAAAGCATGATCCTTAAAATACGAACCAGAGTGTGATTAGCTGTCTGAATGCTGTGGTATTGTGAGCTCTCGGGGTGTCACTGACTCACTTTGTGTGTGTGTGTGTGTGTGTGTGTAGATTTCCTTCTGTCCCTTGACACAGTTTCAGAGGCCAGACTATATTAGTAGCAGTAACAATACCAATACAGTAAAAAGACCGCTTTCCATGCTTTCAGATGTATTGTGCATATAGAGCTAGACCAAATTTTTAGACCAATCAGCCCTCAGTGGGTGATGTGGTCAACATCACACTGTTCACCTTCACTTCCAAAGCCTTTGCCTGGTACCCATTCAAGGCTGGGTCGGCCTGGGAGCCAATGTCATTTTCGAAAATGCGAGCGTAATAATATTTTTTTTTAAATAATAACAATAAAAAGCAGTAGTAAAATGAAGGTTACCTGACGACATGTTCACTGTCCAATCTTCATCATCATCAAAATGAACATCTCCTCCAAACTGAGGAAAGAAGGCGTGGGCCAGGGTGCGACCCCGACCATCAAATGGGTTGCCGTCTCCGTGGTGACGTCGAGCAAACCTGACGTCAATATCGGCGCGCTCATTGAAAGGTCGCAAGGTAAACTTGAGGGGAGTCACATCGGCCCAGACCTGTGGAACGAAGGATAATCTTATACTGTACAGAGACAGGTTTGCGTCTTTGCTACTTACTCCAGATAGTTTTCAGTAGCCTGGGTGGGTTTTATATTTGCCCACTGAAGCCTATTTTATTGTGTCGATATGTCTGTATCGTGCACTTTCAAATGATTTCTACAATAGGGTGAGAGGCAGTCAGTGTGGACCGTACTGGAGACGAAAAAATAGCAACTCATTGAGAATGAAGACTGGGGCGGCACAGTACAGTAAGTCATTTCCAAAAGCCGTGATCATCTCTGACTCTCAGTCAAAGCTACAAAAATGGATGGCTACGACATGACCAGTTTTAAGCTATTCTTCTTAGTATGTCATAAGAAACTGGGACCGGTGTCCCTGGTCAAAAATGTCGAGTCACTTGAGATCGATTAGGAGGACAGCCTTTTTCTTAAAGCTGGCTGGCAATATCGTATGATTTTTTATTTTTTTATGTAACAATTTTTAATATATATTCGGTCTTACTTCTGGCTATAACCCTACACTGTTGACACTAAAATGAGCGATGTACAATACTGACTTACTGCAAGTAGAGATGCCAGATTGGTTGCAGTCATTACCTTTGACGAAGTTTCCTTGTGATCTCGCCGGATTTTACTTTCTTTCCTGTTGTCACATTTATGTTGAGTCGGTATGCTTACAGTTAATAATTCTTCTGTATTCCTTCTTGCTATTTATAGATTGCCCTTGTCTGCTTATCATTGTATAGACCTTCTTTCCTTCTCCTGTTACTATATAATTTAAATTATAATTTTTTCTGGTGTCATTACAGCTGCATTTCATTATTGTCATTAGGTATCAGACTATTTGCTGTTTGACTTGTGCTCTTTTGTTGACTTGGCTGGAAATGGGTACCAGGCAATGTCGCTGGAAGTAAAGGTGGCCGGTGTGACGTTGATCACATCACCCATTGAGTACTTAACTGTTAACTTTTGGGTTTTCGTGCTCATATGACAGTTTTGCTGAGCAAGAAATGTGGATGTCTGTACTCGATTACACCGTAGAATCGTTAATTGGCCTGCACGTGTTAACGTCCCAATTGTAGTTTTGCGGCCAGAAAATAACGACTTATTTACTGATGATAACATCCTAGAGTTCTTGAACAAAGGTCAATTCTCTCCCGCTTTTTTCTCCGCTGATACTGGATACTTTTATTGTAAATATGTATGATAGTTTATCTACTTCCGCTCTAATGCGTCTCTTCTTGTAGCTTCGTGTTATTTTCGCTGATAAGCGTGGCTTTAGTTACCGAATGACAACTTTTTTTGGGTGTAAATTCATGCTTTGCTCATCATCATCATCTACTTCAGCATCATCATCACTATCCTGCACTGAGCTTACAAGCACAGGCTGTCATATATCAAACATTTCTTACGATCACCAGAGTTAGAGCTCAGGTCAATGTTGTCGTCGTCCCATCTATACAGTAAAGCCATCCACATTTTTCTCTCCATACCTTTTGTTGTATTGTTTCTAAATGTTGCCAGTCCTTAGCAAGTTCTCGAGTCCAGACATTCTCATAACACTTCCAAAAAACTCAGACTGCCTACGTCTGATGTCCCTAAATTAGCTTTCGGTTTTCATCTGTCTCTACGACAAGTTATACAAACTTTCAAATGTTGGAAAAACTCTTGAGGTCCTTGAAATGTCATGGTAAATTAATAAACAGGTGCTGACTGGCACTCACAGAGGTAGGGGGGACAATGAGAGATTACAGGAAACACTAAACATTATAGAGAACTATACTGACTCTACTGGCATTCGAACTTGCCGGAAAAAAAAATAACAACGCCTTGTTGACGGGTCCAGTGTTCCAAAAAAAACTAACTAGGAAGAAACTCGGGGCATTCGCATAAGCGCTCCGTCCTTATCTTTAGCAGCCAGCACAGAGCTTGAATTCCAATTGTACAAAAAAAAAAGTTTGATTGTACATCCGTCTTGCCTTTTATCGGAGCTTAGCGTGTCGGACAGATCCGCTGTTCACTCCTCGCTGCTCGATACTCTTCAGACCGTGATAGTCAATTTGTGCTTTGTATTGTTTGCTCGAGAACTTACTTGAGAACATCATAGCCATGTACCACACAAGCCAAAGTGCAGTAAGAACACAAGAAGGCATATCAGATATGTTCACGTCACCACAGGTGTGAGACAGGGATGCGTGCTCTCCCCACTTTTATTCCACTTTTATATAGACATAATATCTAACGAAGCAAGTTCTGAAACAGAGAACATAGACCTTTATAATCACGAGGAAGTATACACATCAGAAGACGTAATCGATTCACCCACATTACACGAACTACTATTTGCTGACGACCAGTGCTGTCTTCTACTATGAAGAAGATAGGACTGTAAGACAACATTAACAGGTTAAACTCAGCATGCAGCAAACACAATATGAAAATCTATGCAAATAAAACCGACACAATTCAAGTTAGTAGAACCCCTGGCCCACTACACATACCGCTGAATGGTTCTGGTCTGAGTCAGGTTAGGGAGTTAAAATATCTAGAAAATATAATCACTGAAGATGGTAGAATTGACAGAGAAACAGAAGCCAGATGTCAGAAAGCAAGTGCACTTATATACCAAATGTTACCATTATTAAGACATCCAAGCATAATTATGAATGCAGATGGACAGATTATAAACAGCATATTCATTCCAAAATGAGCTACCAGTGCCAAAAATGGACGCTATCTAAAGCCCATACAAATCACCACCTGCGAGATGAGATGCCTGAGAAAAGCAGCCAGCCTAACCATGGCCAAACTTTAGTTACTTTTTAGTTACTTTTTTTTAGTAATTTTCGAAGGCGTCGGCCTAACCATCCGAGATCGAGTGAATAATGACGCTATCAGACAAATTGCACTAAACGACGTCTATTCGCTTGTGCTATGAACCCCCATGCATGACTTCTCCCCCTTAACACAAAGCCATTTGTACAGATATAGTCACATCTTTTAGGTTAGGAGTTATCATGAATTAGTGTCTGCATTTCCGGCCCAATGCAATTAGAACACTGCACAGGTATGATTGCTGCTTGGACCTCTAACATTTTTCTCTCCTAGCCCAATATTATCAAGCCTGGACACATGTCTGATTTAGCCTTTGCCATTCAAGACCTTTCTCTTTTCAGACTGTGACACCTAGCTCTGTCTAGGGTGTCATGCAAGATCACTTTCTTGTCTGCGGCTGTTCTGAGATATGACTTTACTTGCGGAACCTTGAGCCTAACTGTAATAAGTTTCGTCAGCTGACTTTGATATGGTGAACATTTCTAAAAATCCAGTCAACTAGCACTTAGTGTCAGCTAACCAAACAGATAACTTTACCGTTAGAAGCAAACAAGATCGAGGCGTAGATTATATCAAGGGAACGGTACACAAACATTAGATGATGACAGTCTAGACAAAGACTTCAGCTTCCTCTACAATAGACAGCAATGTCAACCCACTCATCGTCGTCCATACGGTTGTAGACTGATGTCTTCACCGATTGTGACTACGGACTTTTTTCATAGTATTCTGAACAGATCCATAAGGTTCCTATTCCCACCTCCCACCTTTTTTCCCCAAACCTCGATTAGCGTAAAACTATTGATCACTATAGTAACTACAGACATAAGATGTCTGAGAAGGAAGGCAAATTAGGGGAGGGGGTGGCGCAGATGACTAACAGTAATTGTTTTTTTTTAAGTCGGCATTGTTTGTTTGTTTTAGTATCCAGAAGCCATGAGTTGTTAACCCTTAGGCTCGGTATTATGGATATCGCAACCTTTCGGCCTTGATTCCATTGTAAATACCGTAAATCTGGGAGAAATGTGGCTTTCCTGCCTACCCCCGGGATTGAACCCGGACCACAAGGAGTTCGTCACTCGGTCTCCGCGCAATCCGGTTTAGCCAACTACGCTAGAGAGCCGGGCTTAAGTCGGCATTTAATACTCAATTACCCCCAAAGATGTTAAATGAATTTGTTTGCCAACTCAGTGATAATACTGTGTGGTGTTAGACCACAGGAGACGGCTACAATCTGAGGTAGACCAAGAACAATACTGAGAGATAATATCAGAGAAATTCTGCATCAGTATCGAGTGCTTATGGTCGAGACTGCCAGAGCAGCAAAAGCTACAGCTAGTACTGTCACCACCTATCAATGCTACTTTGTCGCCTCTTACGACATGCATTGTGCTTTACCATGGTATGTCTATGTGCTTCCTTTCTGAACTCAAGTAGCAGACGAACAGGTGTGTAGTTACAGAAGTAACAATTACAGGTTCTTTTACATGCTAGAGGCGCATCAGGCATATGAGGCTAGACACATATTTATTTAGACCACTTCGACGAGTGACGTGGTCAACATCACGCATGCCGCCTTTACTTCCCAGGTTTTACCTGGTACCCATTTAAGGCTGAGTCGACCTGGGAACCAAGGTGCTTGAAAAAAATCCGGCACAGATCTGAACTCACGATATTCTGATCCGCAGGTTTGCGTCTAGGCGCTACACCATGACGGCTCCAAGTTAGAGAAATAAAAACATAAAATACTGACCTTTAAAGCATTGTAGACTTCTTTCTCTGCCGTGTCAGAGGTCATACTTCGAGGAAAGTCTGATATTTTGAATGTCAACTCCCGTTTTGGCCATTTGCTGCCTGCATTAGACAGGGAGTCAAGACAATCATACAACAACAACACAAGTAACAGCAAACCTTGCTGACACTGATGAGACCAAACATCGGCAGATAATCTACTTTGTTAGCACTCATGAGCAATCCCAGGCCTTACACACACATACACACACACATGCACACACACACAAACACAGGCATATATACACACACACACATATATATGGGGCCGCGATAGCGCAGTCGAAAAGAGACGCTTTCAAATCCAGCTGCGACTGGCTGCAGCACACTACCAGTGTTCGGAAACGGACGGTTCCCGGGGTTCACCCAGCC